CCTAGGCTGTTTAAAGTGGTTTGCATTTCTAAAGGATCTGAACCAAAGAAAGCAATGTCGTCTGCATATTCAATGTTTGTGAGCGAACGTCACGGAAGCAATTTGATCCACGATGTTTGAGGCATGTAGAGGAATTCAAGGCAGAACATCAATAACAAATCTAAAGAGTAAGGGTGAGAGAAGACAGCCTTGTCTTACACTAATGGAAGTGGTCAACTCAGGCAAAAGCCTGACGTATACTCGTACACGTCCATAATGGTTCAAGTACAGTGCCCTGAGTGGATATAAATTTGGAACACTCTTGATCGCCGGACACCACCAGAGCCTCTAACCATCGACAGATTCAAAAAGGGCCAACGTGGAACGTCTTGGTGGCGCTGCTTGCCACACACATTCGTACCACTCACTCTCGGGCAGAGAAGAACCCAGATTGGTTATCACGAATATCTCTCTCGACAATCGACCAACCTGTGGAAATAATGCGGGAGCAAACTTGGATGCCACGGCTACCAGGATGTCACGATTGGGATGACAATCGAGTACCTTCCCTCCAATGATATTGTTTCGTTCCAAATCTCTTCTTTGAAGAGTGTGGGACACAGACCATCCGGGCCAAGTGTTTCGTCGTGTTGATAGAATGATAACACACGCTGGATTTGTTGCTGACAGTGGGCTGGTGTCGATGTTCAATTCAGTCCCGCTGGATTCTCCCAGCGATTATGCTGTAGAAGACCAGCTGTAATGTCCTTTAAAGTGCACAGCCCATCGCTCACAACAATGTAGGGAGTGAATTGCCGTTCCGTCATTTCACTGACACCTGGTTTCTTTTGACCAGTTGACCCGACCAACTGAAGTGGGGTGTTGCCTGCAGCGAAAATTTTCAAAACTCACCAGCGCTGTTATTCTTCGAGCTCCTGGTTATCCGCTGTTCGAGGGATATAGGTGTGCTATCATAGTTGCATATGTTCCCTCAAGCGCCACCGAGCTCCCGGTCCGGATGACCTTCCACCCGCACTGTTCAAAGACGGGGGTGAAGTCGTCAGTCAGCGCTGGTCCGATCTGTTTGCTTGCATTTGGGAAAAGGAGTCTGTCCCAGACAACTGGGCAGATAGTGCCCATTTTCAAAAAACGGGCGCGTAGTGAGTGTGGTAACCACAGGGGGATCAGCCTGACTCCGGTTGTAACGAGACTGTTGGCGTCAATTGTGCTTCGTCGCCTTACGGTGGCTCGTGAGATACTGACCCAAGAGCAGCAAGCGGGATTCCGGCCTGGTAGGGGTTCCGTTGACCAAATCTTCACACTGAGTCAGGTGCTAGAACAACGCCATACGTATAAGCGACCCACAATTCTAGTATTCCTAGATTTCCGAGGCGCATTCGACTCATTTGATCGGTCTGTTCTTCTTGAGACGCTTGCCCACCAAGGAACGCCCCGGAGGTCTGTAAACATCATACGTTCTTTGTATTCTCAGACTTCCGGACGTGTGAGAGTGTACGGAGAGCTCTCCAAAAGCTTCCGCACACAAAGCGGTGTCCGTCAGGGATGCCCACTCTCTCCATTCCTTTCTCCAGTAGGGACTAGAGTTTAGATTCTTTTCAGTTTATGAACTGGTATTAAGTCATTCTACCGTCAAATGCTGTTGGATCGCAGGTCCATAAGCGGTTTTCCGCCTTAACTGGATGTCTGAATGATGAAAATGAGAAAGCATTCCAGATAAGCCAGGCAAATAAGCCATTATACTACTAGAAAAGTACTCAAGAAGACTGATCCGACATCTAAGTATAAGCTCCATACCCACACCCATATTTCAGACCAGAGGTACACTGGTCATATTTTTGCCTCACGTAGGTGTCAAATATGACCGACGAATCGCGAATTTCCACAGTTCTGTGGATAATAAAAAAGATGAACAGCTAATCGTTCAGCCCTAACATCCTTCCGCCGCCATGTCCCCAGAAGGAAGCACGAGGGATGGGATACTGCCAGGTTGCTCAAGCCTTGGTAGAAGTGGAAATGCAGAGGTTGGGTTCGAAACACGGGTCTTTCGACCAGTAAATTCGTGCCCTAACCACTGAGCCGTCGAGCCCGGGTTCTATGGATACATGAACGCCGCTATGTATGATTGCCCAAAGGTCGACTTTTTAATTTACTAGATATAAACAATGTGCCATGGGTAGAATGGTTCCAGCTGCTACAGTTTCGATCACCGGAAAGTGGGAGATACAGACAAACCTTGGAGACGATGACATGTTCGTTAAGTTCGGGAACTGGGTAGCTATGCATCGAAGGTAATAATCTTGATGCACGAGTGCCACTGATTGTGCGACTGTCGTTTTTGTCAGTGCCATCAACCATTGTTGAGTTGAGTCCCGAGGTCCTCATCCAGGGAGGCGGCATTTACCGGCCCGACTAAATTTACCGGTTAGTGTTTCCATACTTTGTTGTCCACCTGTCGGTCGCTTCCGCTCACCATAGGGTTGAGAAAAGAGCTCGGCGAGGCAGATGGTTTTCGGGCATACGGAGTACATGTGAAACCTATGAAGCGTGCGTAATTCATCCAAAAATCATCTGACGTACCTCATCATTACAAATCCCACCCGGCTGGACCCATGTTCCAGAGACACCGATGATCAAACACCGACATTTTACGTACGTTCTCCGCGCGTAGAGGTCACATCTCTAATCTATTAAGCAGTGTGGAACGCACTGTTGCAGTGTAACCTCTGCCCTTGACACACCAACTGACGTCACGTCGGCGCCATAGGTGTCGGAGGTTGGCAGATGTCCTGGGTCCGGATCCGAGAAGTGACCACATTTCCAGTCAACTGTCCAGGTAAACAAGTTTATCTGCCACCTCGATTGGCTCGTCTACAAGCACGATGTTTGGGTTTGATCTCACCCAGTCTTGTAGCAGCACTTTGCAGGTTTTAAGCACATACCTAGGCTGTTTAAAGTGGTTTGCATTTCTAAAGGATCTGAACCAAAGAAAGCAATGTCGTCTGCATATTCAATGTTTGTGAGCGAACGTCACGGAAGCAATTTGATCCACGATGTTTGAGGCATGTAGAGGAATTCAAGGCAGAACATCAATAACAAATCTAAAGAGTAAGGGTGAGAGAAGACAGCCTTGTCTTACACTAATGGAAGTGGTCAACTCAGGCAAAAGCCTGACGTATACTCGTACACGTCCATAATGGTTCAAGTACAGTGCCCTGAGTGGATATAAATTTGGAACACTCTTGATCGCCGGACACCACCAGAGCCTCTAACCATCGACAGATTCAAAAAGGGCCAACGTGGAACGTCTTGGTGGCGCTGCTTGCCACACACATTCGTACCACTCACTCTCGGGCAGAGAAGAACCCAGATTGGTTATCACGAATATCTCTCTCGACAATCGACCAACCTGTGGAAATAATGCGGGAGCAAACTTGGATGCCACGGCTACCAGGATGTCACGATTGGGATGACAATCGAGTACCTTCCCTCCAATGATATTGTTTCGTTCCAAATCTCTTCTTTGAAGAGTGTGGGACACAGACCATCCGGGCCAAGTGTTTCGTCGTGTTGATAGAATGATAACACACGCTGGATTTGTACAGACAAACCTTGGAGACGATGACATGTTCGTTAAGTTCGGGAACTGGGTAGCTATGCATCGAAGGTAATAATCTTGATGCACGAGTGCCACTGATTGTGCGACTGTCGTTTTTGTCAGTGCCATCAACCATTGTTGAGTTGAGTCCCGAGGTCCTCATCCAGGGAGGCGGCATTTACCGGCCCGACTAAATTTACCGGTTAGTGTTTCCATACTTTGTTGTCCACCTGTCGGTCGCTTCCGCTCACCATAGGGTTGAGAAAAGAGCTCGGCGAGGCAGATGGTTTTCGGGCATACGGAGTACATGTGAAACCTATGAAGCGTGCGTAATTCATCCAAAAATCATCTGACGTACCTCATCATTACAAATCCCACCCGGCTGGACCCATGTTCCAGAGACACCGATGATCAAACACCGACATTTTACGTACGTTCTCCGCGCGTAGAGGTCACATCTCTAATCTATTAAGCAGTGTGGAACGCACTGTTGCAGTGTAACCTCTGCCCTTGACACACCAACTGACGTCACGTCGGCGCCATAGGTGTCGGAGGTTGGCAGATGTCCTGGGTCCGGATCCGAGAAGTGACCACATTTCCAGTCAACTGTCCAGGTAAACAAGTTTATCTGCCACCTCGATTGGCTCGTCTACAAGCACGATGTTTGGGTTTGATCTCACCCAGTCTTGTAGCAGCACTTTGCAGGTTTTAAGCACATACCTAGGCTGTTTAAAGTGGTTTGCATTTCTAAAGGATCTGAACCAAAGAAAGCAATGTCGTCTGCATATTCAATGTTTGTGAGCGAACGTCACGGAAGCAATTTGATCCACGATGTTTGAGGCATGTAGAGGAATTCAAGGCAGAACATCAATAACAAATCTAAAGAGTAAGGGTGAGAGAAGACAGCCTTGTCTTACACTAATGGAAGTGGTCAACTCAGGCAAAAGCCTGACGTATACTCGTACACGTCCATAATGGTTCAAGTACAGTGCCCTGAGTGGATATAAATTTGGAACACTCTTGATCGCCGGACACCACCAGAGCCTCTAACCATCGACAGATTCAAAAAGGGCCAACGTGGAACGTCTTGGTGGCGCTGCTTGCCACACACATTCGTACCACTCACTCTCGGGCAGAGAAGAACCCAGATTGGTTATCACGAATATCTCTCTCGACAATCGACCAACCTGTGGAAATAATGCGGGAGCAAACTTGGATGCCACGGCTACCAGGATGTCACGATTGGGATGACAATCGAGTACCTTCCCTCCAATGATATTGTTTCGTTCCAAATCTCTTCTTTGAAGAGTGTGGGACACAGACCATCCGGGCCAAGTGTTTCGTCGTGTTGATAGAATGATAACACACGCTGGATTTGTTGCTGACAGTGGGCTGGTGTCGATGTTCAATTCAGTCCCGCTGGATTCTCCCAGCGATTATGCTGTAGAAGACCAGCTGTAATGTCCTTTAAAGTGCACAGCCCATCGCTCACAACAATGTAGGGAGTGAATTGCCGTTCCGTCATTTCACTGACACCTGGTTTCTTTTGACCAGTTGACCCGACCAACTGAAGTGGGGTGTTGCCTGCAGCGAAAATTTTCAAAACTCACCAGCGCTGTTATTCTTCGAGCTCCTGGTTATCCGCTGTTCGAGGGATATAGGTGTGCTATCATAGTTGCATATGTTCCCTCAAGCGCCACCGAGCAGGGATATAGGCTATCATAGTTGCATATGTTCCCTCAAGCGCCACCGAGCTCCCGGTCCGGATGACCTTCCACCCGCACTGTTCAAAGACAGACGG